TTTGCTTGCAGAAGTCCATGCTGAACTGGAGAAACCATCCACTCAAAACCTTATTTCAAATCAATATGAATTTACTGGTAAAGTAAAAGCTGCTTCTATATGGTTAAGGTCTAAAGCAATACCGTAAAGATGCTAGTATAGTACGCACTTTTTTCCCGTTTTTTTAACATCAAAGTCGGGGTGCGCATTATCCATAGGAGGTTTTTTTTCAAAATTTTCATTTGGCGGTTCCGTGGCACTTAATTAATCGCTGGACACCAGAGGTTAAGTTGATTTTTATTAGCATCGACAAGCAACTATATACACCATTTCAAAAAAGTAAGTTAAATAAATGAAATCAACACTGCAGCGCAAACAAGCAAATACCGTATGTTAATTGATATTCTACTCATCTTCAAAGCCCTCGAATTCGCATTTGTTAGAATCTTCCTCGAACAGACGAGCAATGTCTTCTGGGGTATAGCCCTCGACATCTTCATCCAGGTAATACAAATCATTGTCATCATCGCATACCGGTAATTCGCCCTTAGACGATTCATTGTCGCTCGGATCTATCCACAGGGCATAATCCTTGCTGCCATCCATAGCATTAGAGATGCTGCATTTCAGAAACCCCTTCCTTATGATAGCGGGATCAAGTTCAACCCAGACATCCACTATCCACTGGGTAACATCTTGCAGCGTCTGTGTTCGCATACGTCCACCTGCAGTAAATGTATGTTCACCTTCCAACAACCAGGTGTTCCATTTCCTGCATAGTGCATCTTTCATTGGCTTGCTAACTGTCACGTCATGTGGACAAGTCTGTTTTGTCTTGCTGAAGCCTTTTCTTGACGGATGGCATATGATGACACCGAAATGCATCCAAAACTATTAGAGATCGCTTTCTCATAAGTCCACCTGGCCGCGTCGCCCAAACCGTCTGTAGCCAATCAAGCATTAAAGCTTCGTCAATCCAGCCTTTAGGGTGAACACGCAAGTGTATATAAAACTTGTTAAATCACTATTGGTTCATTTAATTCATTGAGGTATGGCACCTATGGGAAAAAGAATAGGTGTTCACGTTATTAAAGACTAAACCATAATCCACAGGAATGTTCAATTAAAGTCACATGAGCAACTTTAAATCTGCCATTTCCTAATTTATGAGTGCTTGACTTTGCAATCTTTATAATTGTCACGTTATTGGATTTTAAAGTGAACAGACAGATCACTGATAATTTCTTGTTTTAAGTGCGTTTATTAAGTGAGCTAGTTCCCTCATAAAACGAATAAAGATATAATCCCCACGACAGGGCCAAAATGGCGGACTCTGTGCAGGTGTAGAGAATTGCAAAGAGCCTTCCTCCTCTACCTCAAGTGTCCCTTACATACAGGGGACATGCCTTGCTGGCAGGGCGAGATTAAGACCTGTAGAGGCCCTAAGCACTGAAAAGATTATGGTGTCTCCCCCTTCCCCCCATATGTAATTCAAAATAAAAACAATACTATACAGTAAAATATCTTTTTTTTTCTGCTAGCAGTGCTAACCCCCCTATAGGGCTATGAGTGGTCACTGCTAGAAAAACTGGCAATACATAGGGCAGCATATTTTGTACCTTTTTAAAGGTGATGGAATAGCTGCTGTAACATACACCCCTATTGTATTCCGGGTGGGATGCTGGGTATGTTTTGGACCATTGATTAGTTAGCACAATCCTGATTTCTTCTTGTATATCTGTGTGCTAGAAATTCCTTGCCCCTGTAACTGACATTCACTTACTAGGGAGAGAAGTTTCTGAATTTCACTTAGAATTGATAAAGTGTATTAAAAAATGTAGCTATATCAAGTGTATATAAAAAACCCAAACCTAGCATTGTATATATGTACTAATTCCACCCTTTGTGTGTTCCTTGTCTTCTATGATTGCAAGCACTCAGGGGGTTGTCTAGACTACCTAGTTTTGTCGACAAAAGTGGACTTTTGTCGACAAAACAATACCAGTGTCTACACTACCGCGGAGTTCTGTCGACATAACGTCGACAGAACTCCACGGTTTTGTCGACGCTGGTATACCTCATTTTACGAGGCAAAACACCTTCTGTCGACAGAGTTCTGTCGACAGAAGGTGTTATTGCCTGTAACACTGCGTCCAGACTACGGAGTTCTGTCGACAAAGCGGCTTGCTTTGTCGACAGAACTCCATGTGTCTGGACGCTCTTTGTCGACGGAAGTTTTGTCGACAGTATCTGTCGACAAAACTTCCGTCGACAAAACGCGGTAGTCTAGACGTACCGTCAGGGACAGGAATTTGTGTGTGCATGGTGAGATATCATTGTACAGCATCTCATAAAATGGGGCCGCCTCAGATTGGAATTTATAGACGCAACTGTATAAAAGGTTCTAGAGCTGCAGGTACAATAATTATTGATCTAGCATGCATATAGTCTGTCCCGTCTTGTTACATCTGGTTGTAAGGTTTCCTACAATACCTATCATCCCAGAGTTTAAGCACTTCCCTGATAAAATTGAGTTTGTACATTTCATGAAGAAAAATTCATTTTGCTGCCTAAATAAAACAATGGGATGGAGAGTATCCCATTTGAAGCAATGGGATGGAGAGCATTCTTTCTATCTAATCCTTGGTGATAGATTTAGACTAGATTATAAACCCATCATTCTACAGTCAGAGTACTTGAAGCATAATTTAAGGATATGTCTCACTGCAGGACTAAGTGCTTTATTGAATTAGGGCCGTCACAAGTCATTTTTAAGGAAGGTTGTAATCATGGCAAGGAGGTTTTGTTGAAAGTACTCATTCACGGGTTCTTGTCAGAAAAGGATTTTTTATCATATGGAATCAAAAAACAATGGTGATATGATGATCACATCTGGGACACACAAATTATGGTGGGTTTCACGTAAGCATAATTCTCATAAAGACTACCAGGTTAAGAGCCCTACTGCCTTCTCTTGACAGAAGTATAACCTGGTCAAAAAACATTTCCCCTTTCCCTCCATTTCTGACCTGAAGGGCCCAGAAAAGTACTTCATCCCGTTTAGCTTTGATTAGATCAGTAGGACTTCCAACATGTGCTTACATTTCAATGTAAGTGTGATGGGTCAAGTCACTGAGATCCCCTTGAGACTGACAGCTGATAGGCTGAAATACCACTGATTCTGCCTACTTGCCCTCTGGGGCTCCCAACCACCCTATCCTGTTGAACCAGAGCATGTCATCTCTCCTGCAAAGGTACAGGTGGTATCATAGCCCGCCACAGAGACACTGAGAGCAGCTCAGCTCTGAGAAGACTCAATCACAGGCACTTGACCCAGCACGTAGGCGCACAGCCCAATGGGACCAGAGCCCCAGATAAATCCATCTTACTCTGCATAAGAATTTTATACAAAGCAAGCTCATAAGTTGTTTGCTCCCTTTATCAATAAAAAAAGAGAGACACACAGCCCCAGTACCCCACTGAACACACTGTAAAACATTTTTATGAGAGGTGAATCAAGGAGTGGTAATTCATTCTAAGTGTTTACTGGTCTCTGCCAGTGTTCCCTGTAAGATGAGTGCTTGGGCAGCTAGCCAGGAGAGATTCAAATGTTGCTCAACTGATTAGCAGAGCTCCCACATTTGCAGTATGTTTTTATACTGGTGGTGCACATCTGCACATGCCTGGGTGCATGTAATAACAATCATTCCACACATGGAAGGAAAACATTAGAGGGAATATTAGTCTCTGCTGAAACAAACTGTTTCTGAACACATTTACTTTTGATCTGACCCAAAGTCTATTGAACACAATTGAAAGGTTTCCATCTATTTCATTTCACTTTGGATCAAGCCTTCCACAGATAATTACTTTAATTAACAGTAATTAATAGGTTACTTTTGTTAGCCTGGGTACATTTAAACATATAAGCCGGCAAAGAAGACTTTTTGATATTTGGTATTTGCAGTTGTCAGTGGGGATAGGTGGAAAGGCTGACAGAAAACTTCAGGAAATAGTCGCATTCATACATTCTGTTCACTGAATATTTAGTAGTGGATACTTGAGGAATGCGGAAAAGAAATATTAGGAGTAAAGCACTAGATGTTAATGACAGGGGATGGCAGCAGCAAAGGCTGAAATCCTTACCTAAGCACATTTTTAATTGAAAAATGAATGTGTTTTGTCTAGCTAACAACTTCATGATCTGGCCAAAAGTTTATAAAATGGAAGCAATTGAGAGGAACCTGCCACAGGACCAAATACTGATATGTGTTTGTCTTGTGGAGCCTGGCAAAAAGCCTGTGTTGAGTTTTCTGTATCCCATTGTTCTGTAATGACTTGCACTCATTTCTCAATTAAAAAAACAATTGATAAGATGTAACAGGTAATAGAGGAGAGGGTGGCATAGCACTGCAATCAACAGTAACATTTAGAAGTTGAATCCGGGACACCAAGGGTACGTCTACACTACATGCCTCTGTCGGCAGAGGCATGTAGATTTGTTTATTCAGCAAAGGTAAATGAAGCCGTGATTTAAATGATTGCGGCTTCATTTACATTTACATGGCTGCCACGCTGAACCGACAAACAGCTGATCAGCTCGTGGGATGAGGTTTACCGGGGCTGCC